TAATATTTTTTGTTCTGCCCATCAAATGGAGAAGAACAAGGCCTAATGTAGGTGCCCTTAAGACATCAGTGTTTCTGAATGGCAAGTCCATGCAGGTAGTGGAACAATAACTAAGCACTCTTGTACCTAGAGCCTCAGAGCTGTATATCTGCAGTGTGAAATCATCTAAGGCACCGTGTTTCTGACTGCTGGTCTCAGGAGATTTGGAGTGAGATTTGGGCTCCTCAATGTTCTCCTTGCTGGAGAGAAAGCTGTACCTGAGCACCAAGGATCTCCCTGCTCCGGCTTCATCCCTTTTTTGCCTTCTGTACCTCTCCTGTTGCGTCTTCAATATTCCCCCACCAGTTATTAGAGGGCAGATCTGATCAGAAGAACGCAAAGCCTTGCCCACTGCCATTATGACCACCTCAACACAATGCAGAACAAGGCATGGTAAGTCCGTAATGGAGAAGCCGCAGAGAGCCTTCAGACAAAACTGATGACTAGTCTTTTGTTATCTACTTGCCTTTTTGGCAAAGTGAAAAATTAAGTGTTCCTTTAAGACAACCTAGTACGCTGCTATGGCTTTAAAACTTGCAAATGGTGCCCCATCACTACTTGTTTACCTTGCAGCTGCTTAATGTCCATGTTTGATGACGAGAACTAGATGTGAGGAATCGCTGTTTTTTGTTCAGTAGTCAGAAGGGCAAAAAGAAAATGAAAGATTTTGGTCCAACAACCTGTTATTTTGAAATCACACACAAGCCTTCCTAAAACCCACCTGGGTTTTGGGTGGGTACCACCAGGAGGACACATTTTAGGCTGGGAACGTATTTGTGATCATGAGCTTCAGCCAATGACCATTTTGGGGATACCTACAACCCACAGAAATGAATCGATTATATTGGGGAGGATGTGCAGAGCTAAGCTAAATTAATTCTCATGCAATTGCCAGTGATGGAAATAATCATTTATGGCTCCTGATAGTTTTGAATGAAATCTATATGAGAAGCAGAAGCCAGCACACTTGCCAGCTACTCAGAAACCCCAAACTACTAGGTACTTGGGTTACAAAGATTTTGTTGCACACATTTGCAAACTCACATAAATCCACATGGTCACCTTAAGGCACATCTGTAGTGTGTGGTCCCCAACTCAAAACTAGGGATGTCTGTGGGCTTAGTGCAAACCACATTCACCCAAGCCCATACAAAACAGTTAGTGATACACCCCCCTTGTGGCCCAATCAGTTGCAGCCGGGACATTTTTTGCCCCTTGTTGTAGCTGCGGGAAAGGGAATGCCCGAGCCACAACTGACTGGGTCAAGAGGGGGGTGTCACTGTCAGTTTTGTGTGCCCCACACTCATGACTACTCAAAACTATCCAACTTTACAACAATTCTTCCTTGTTCTTGGGGCTCAGTCACACAAGTTCATTAAAGCTGCATTGATCAACACAAGGATGCAGCAAAAACCAATTTCTAAATGGAGCTAAGTTGAACACACCTAAATGCAAAGTGTGAATTATTACAAATATTTCATGTATTTTTTGTGTGTTTAGATAGAAATGTTCTATCCATGCGTGCATGTCACTGGTAGTGTGAAGGAGGCCCTAAATTTAATTCCAGACAGCCAAATGTGGAAAGCAGAATGCACATGTATAGGAATCGATGATGCCCACTTTGTTATCAGTGCTGGTCTGGAGAAAGGTTCTCCCCAGCACAGCTATACTCTCTTCTGAACGTCCTAATCTGTATTGACAGCTGGAACAGATCTGCATCTCATTATACAAGAATGGTGCTGATGCTGAATGAGTACACCTGTCACTGCAATCCCCAGTGTGCAGCATTGTGGGTAAGTTTACCCCCCCCCCGTTGTAAGATTTTGTATGGCTTTTTCTTCTCTTTATGTTCTTTGTTCAGCGTCATGTTCTTGTATTCTTTGTATATACTGCTGTTCTGAGAATTGAATCCATTAGTTAGCTAACAGTTGGCTTGCAAAAGGGGACTAGCCTGTCACAAATGGTTGTCATTTTCTTGGCTAATGCATGGCGTGAACAGTAGTGTTTGGGTGAAGGGAACATCATTGCCAATGTGGGGAAAATATATAAATACTGCATAGTGGTCACTAGATAGAGCTGAGGAGCATAGGAAAGAAGTATTTACTTCCTATGCTCATCAGCTCCATCTAGTGGCCATATTGCAGTATTTCCTAAATGTTACATTTGACCTCAAAAAAAGATACGGTAATTTTTGCCTCCTATTCCCACAGAATGAATGTTTAGAGATTTACAGGACAAATGGTTAAAGGAGAATTATGAGGCGAGTGATTTTAACTCAGCCTCATAAACTGAGCTGACCTCTAATCTGCCTCTAGATAGGCAGAGCCTGCAGTCACTCACGGAGCTGAGTGGATCCAGACAGCATTATCGGGATCCGTTCCGGCTGCGGCGTCTCAGTATACCACGAGCTGTAGCTTGCGGTATACTGAGCTTTGGGTGACGGGAGGACGCTAGTTTGTGTCCTCCCGTTTACCCTTAGGAGAACGATGGGGAAAAGCACTGACCCCATAGTTCTCCTTTAATCAATAGACCCTTTAATTCTGAAGTATATTATATAGCTCAGATAATATATTCAGACAGTATACATTTTGTTAGGTTATGGGAAAGAGACACGCTTCCCTCAATTATAATGAATGATACATGTCATAGGAGGTGGAGGAGCAAGTTACAATAAACTTGTTTAGCCCTTTCTAATAACTGTGGATGTATTAGCAATAGATGTTAACATGGAGCTAACTCTTTGGATAAATCGAGATAGGCTGACTCCAGTTATTTTCCTTGTCTATGATTACATTTGACAGTGTCCTGTGCTTCTTTGCTGGTACAGCCACAAACCAAGATAAGACAGTGATTGCAGTTGCTGGCATGGCATAAAAAACAACTGGCATATTTGAAAACAGCAGTGTGTGGTGCTGGAGAGTTTATAGCTAGCTTCAAATGCAGCCTGAAATGAACCACTCATTGACTTCATTCCCATGTCACATCAGCCTGACTTTACACATTCATAACTCGGATTTATGAAATGTTGGAGTCTCCTTGGTTTATCCATACAGGCTCATCCTCGCAAATTAAAAAGATGAATTACAAAATATTAGTAGAAATGAAAGGTGTCCCTCATACAGACCATTGTAATTCTTGTAGTCCTCTCAAAATGTAGAAATGTCAGCCAGGGTTGGTCTGCTCTAAGAAATAGCTCCAATTTCTCTTCTTGCTGTTTCTATACACCAGTCTTTATGCTCCTGCTGATGGTGATGACAACATTTGGCTGATCATTTGCACACAGTATAATAGACAGATCTCTGTTTTTGTAACGGCACCTTGAGAATCCAACAACAAAACTGATTACACATCGCTTATCTGTGTACTAATACATGTGCAGGAACACATTTTACACATTAGGACATAACGGGACTCGTCAATAATGATATCCATAGAATCATGTTTTCTGTGAAGATGTTGCTAGTCATTAAAGTGGACTTGTAACAAAATACAAGGTCCACTTGCAATATCTAGGCCCACTCCCCCACTAAAAGTCACTACTCGCCTTACCTGTTTACTGCCCACAACACTTGGGTAAGAGTGACATCAAATTCCTTCCGGCAGGATCCTGGGGAATAGAGAGCAGCCCAAATTTTGCAAGAAGTGAACCAGAGGGTCTTATGAGATTTTGCCTGCCTTAAATTCCCCAGGAATCTTCCCGGCAGGACGATGACATCATGCCCAGCAGTGGGGAAGACCAGGTCAAGGTAAGTATAAATCTAACCTTCCGCTTTACAGGAACGTTTTCTACATTTTACATACTAAGAGCTTGTGATGTTTAATGGAGGTGGGGGTGGGGGGCAGACATTAGAAGTGGACCTTTCATTGCACTGCTAATTTCACTTTAAGTTCATTTAAATGCTACTGTGGTAGTGCTGAGATCCATTTCAGGAAGACTTGCAGTAAGTTATAAGTCATGATGAGCCTGGACGCACACAGTTCGCCCAAGCACACTCAAAACTGTGACCAACACTCCTATCTCCCAGCCCAGTACGTTGTGGCAGGCACATTCCACACTCTGCAGCTATACGTCACAAAGGGGAGGGGAATGCCACTGACTAGAGCCCTTCGGTTCAGTTGAACCAAAGGGCTGCTGTACGGGCTATTCACTATAGCCCGTACAGCAGCCGAGCGGCTCAGCTGAGCTGAAGGCATATGCTTTCGGCTCGACTGAGCCTAAGTGACAGCTGAAGCAGGGCCAACAGCTTGCCGAAGGCTGGCCGTTTGCCCCGCAAATGTCAGCTGGATGGAGCCAGCCGTGATGTCATGGCTGGCTCCGCCCAATTGTAATGATAGATTAGCATCCCCAAATGACCGCTGATCAGTCATTAAACAATAAACTGGGTGGAGCTGGCCGTGACGTCAATAGGAAACAGTTGGGCAGAGCTAGCTTTCACCGCTGGCTCCGCCCAATTGTTTGTTTTCTTTAAAATGTTTTTTTTAACAAATTTAAAATCATTTTGCAAATTTTTTTAAAATATTATTTTCACAGATTTTTTATTCTGCTCGATACCACGTAGGTACCAAACAGAGTAGCCAAGCCGAATGCAGCTCGGCGGAATTTGGCTATTCACTCACTGCGGTTCGGCCCCTATGAGAATAGGGTGAACGGCAGCGAGTGAGCTGCCAGAGCTTTGGCTCAGCTGATCCAGATGTTGGATCGGCTGAGTCAAAGTCCTTCTGCATTTCGACTCAGCCGATGTACGGCTGATCTTAGCCGATATACGGCCGCTGAAATCAGCCGTACAAGGCTAAAGTGAATAGCCGCACAGCGTTCGGCTCACTTCACTTCGGCTAATCACTTGGCTGCCTTCGGCAGCTTAGTGAATAACCCTGTAAATTTAACAATGTCAAACCCCATGCTCCCCAGCCACCAATCAAGTTTTGAGACAACTTATCTGTGGGTATATGCAAACCTCAAGTATGGCTTTTTCAGGCTTTTCTGTACAGTACATTAAAAACAATTCTGTCTTCAATATCTATTTAGCTGAAAGTAAAAAGCAAGAAGTCTTTCTTTTCACAGAATTTCAATTTTAGTGCATACAAAGGCCTACATTAAATTAAAACTTGTTAAAACATGTAAAAGAATGTCAGTGGGCTGTTATAAGGCATTTTCTGGACTACAATTCAAAAGACTTCTCATCTCGATTGTTGGTATGATGGCATTTAGAGAAAATAAAGCACCTGGTGCCTTACCGTCGTATCCTACATATCAAAATATTAAAATAATTTGGGGTATTGATTATGAAAAAAAATCTTTGAACAAAAATTGAATTTGGTCAGTAGTTAGGAGGAAGCCTATCAGCCTGTTTAAATAAAATGTAAACAGGGGCTGTATCTTCTATTTGATAGTCTTCATATACTAGTTGTGTTTCTTGTGCACAAAACCATTGCTTGCATTCACTAAGTCCTTGTGATATCCGTTCTGCAGATCTAAGCTGGCTGCTTTTCCGTTCGGATCAGATTTCAATGGCTTCTTGTAGGTCTAAAAAGGGAAAAGAAAAGCCTGTTATATTTGTTTCTCTATTTCTTTAAATCCACTCTTAACTTCGATGTTGTGCTTTTTATCAATGTTCACCACTTCCCATCCAGCTAGAGAGAGATAAGAGCCCCTTCTTCTGTGGATAGCCTCCCTCTTCTCTCAGTTGCGAATGTGTTTTACTGTATGGTAGCTGTAGGCAAGAGTGGTGAACTATGTAAAAGGTACAAACTTTTTTTTTTTTTTACAAGCTATACATTCGGGGTACATTCTACCTCGTACTGTGACGCAGCGCATAAACACCACATAGCAATACAGCTCAATCACACAATAAATTACATTCACACTGCGGCGAGATGCCTGACGTGTAGCTCAAGACAAGAGTCCTGAGCCCTCCACGTCATTCATGACACCGCATTACCCCGTACTGAGTCTGTGGTCCGTAGGATCCACATCAATTATCTTCAACTAAATAAACTTCAATAAACCTTGCGGTGCAATGTCTGACGTGCGGAACTCGAGGTTCCTCACGTCCTACATGGCGCCGCGACAACACATCAAGCATAAAACATTAACCGACAACAAAGCATCAGGTGTGATGGAGAGGGAAGAGGGTAAAAGGTACAAACACTGAACTCAATGCTCACAATATTCTGGGTGCATTTTAATTTAGTAAGGATTTAGATTTTAGCAATTATTTTTGTTGCCTCCTTCACTTAGTGTATTTCCACTTTTGCAGTCAATTTTTACAAAAACCACTCTTATCTGTTTCTCTTCCCATTCACACAGCTGCAATAATACATTTTGACCTTTTTTAAATATTTTGTTGCTATAGGCAAGATGGCTGAATCCAGTTTTTTTTTTCTAAGCACCTTCACAGTGATCTGTCCTTAGGGCTGAAATGTGAGGATTGTGTTTCTCTCATTAACTTCATTAGCATACAATGCAGAAGCCAGGCTTTTAATCCTTTGACAGGCAAAACCTTTACAAATTGTAATGAACAAAGCCCTCACCCCTCACAACCCCTCCTAACATTTACAAAGACGGAGAAGGAAGTAGAAATTTTAACCACTGAGAAGCCAAGAATCCATAAGCAATTTAAACTGCAAGACGCATTTTTTTTTTTTTTATAGCTTGTGCTTTGTGAATGGGAACATGTAACAAATACAAAATTAGGGTTATTCCAATTTGGCTGTGAAAGTGGAAACACACTTTAAGAAAAGTTTGGCACGTCCATGTGATAGTCAAAGCTTTTCTGCTGCCATTATCCTAGAAATTCAAATAATGACTCACTCACCCACTGATTGGTTATTAGGTCCTGTTCACAACAGACTATTGGGGTAACACACATTGCGTGCCACTGCTGCACTGTGGTACCATTTAATGAAAGAAGAACTGCAACGTACGTGAGCTGCACTGCACTTGAGCACGACGCAAGATGTCCTGTGTGTTGTGCTTTTGATAAATTGTAAACCACACCTATTTTACATGTGCTGAGGTGCACTGAAGTTCATTCATAGCACGTCATCGCGTTGCATTCATCGCATGTCCATGTATGAAAATGCGTCTGCTGCAGTATGCTGTAAACAGGGCCTTACAGTTGTATTCACCTTTTATTCCACACATTTTTGGTTTTACTACAGTTTTTTGTTCCCATTCTCTTGTTTCCTTAAGGCTTTTGTTGTTTTCCTTCACACCTGGGCGTACTGAATACGCGCGTTTGCCGCACGGTTTTACCGCAATTTGCGGTAAAAGAAACGCGCGTTTCCGAGGGCTATCTGGCTGTATCCTAATGGATACGCCCGACAAATACGCTCCAAAGAAGCTCCTGTACGCACCGAAGAGGCTCCTGTACTTCTTTGGGCGTAGGGTTCCCGGGTGGGAACCATGCCCATAGGCAACTATTGGTTTTCACATGTTGAGCGTTTAACAGCGTGTAGGAACGCGCTGTAAAACGCCCAGGTGTGAACCAGGCCTAAAGAGGAACTCAAGGGAAAATTATTAACCATTGCAGTAGGACCACCACCGTACCACAAGGGTTAAGGGCTCGTTTGTATCTAGGTGCTAAAAAAAAAAAAGATATTCACCAGACCATCTGAGCCAGTTTGTTCTTAGACCGGTCCTTCCAGCTTCTCTCCCCCTCCGCTCCAGTGGTCTAAGGTCCCGTAAATCATAACATTCTATACACAGTGTATAGACATGAGGACACTGAGGAGCATTCCAATGCTGCAGAGTAGAAGAAGAGAGGCTGGAGGGAGCGTTGTGACAGCTCGGTGCGTCAGAGCTTTGCGTGAGTATAACTTTGTTATTTTTGAACCTAGACTAAAACGAGCACTTAATCCTTGCACTGCATGGGTTAATAAAAAAAATTCATTGAGTTCTTTTAAAAAGCAAGAACAAGCTGTAACAAAAGACATGATGTATCCCACCACACAGTATCCAGTAAATTGCAGGTAACAGTAGACACGGCACCAAAGTTCCCCAAAGCAGTGCTGGCAAAAAAGGAGATGGTGCCACTATTCCAGGAATCAGTTCCAGCAAGTTTATACAAGAGCCTAATGGTGACCAAAAACTCTTCTGAGGCAATTCCAGGACATGTCCTTTCCCTTCATTCTTCATCAACGATTGCACAACAAAAACAAGCAAATTTAAAGTAAAGTGAACATGTTGTGATTGTAGCAAACACACGTTCATTCTAGTAAAATAGGCCCAAAGTGTCTATCACTGCTGACCTCAGAAAATGATGAACAGTAGAAGTGACTGATGCTCACAAAATGGTAACATCACTTTTTTTAAGGGACAAGAGAGCACAGTAAAATACTCTTGTTGGTCTCTAGTTATGACATTGCTGCTGCTGATGTGACTGATCATGGTGCCTAACACCACCCGGATATTCAATGCAAAGGTTTAAAGTACACCTGTCGTGAGGGTAATATGTGGGCTGTCATTGCTGACCTCATGCTAGATCTTGTCAGTCATACAGATCTAAGGGCTACAATGCTTTGAGTTACTGACCTGGAACATAAAAAGTTCCAGGAATTCTGACTTTTATTTACTGCAGGTCTGTTTTGGGTCTGGAACTCAGAGGTACTAAAGCCAGACGTAGTTGGGCAACTAGCATTTTAAGACCGAGACCAGAAATGGCAGCCCACAGTCTCATGACAAGTAGTGTTTCACTAAGGGCTATAATACAAGGTTGTTCGTGTTTTGCTCCAAACATGTTTTTTTTTTTAAGGATCTGATATAAAATTTTGTCATTTTGATTTGGAACAAGCGGATTCATGATGACTTGCGCTTTGTCTTTCCATGTATTGTGTTTTGTTTTTACTCCTCTAGACAATTAAATGTGAACGCATGGCAAACACAAACTCATCTCCAATGAAAGCCATCTTCCATTAATGCTTGCAGTATTTGACTTACCTTTAGGTAAAAGTTTACAAATAATATGACCAATGTAGTCATATAGGATGACTGGAATATTAGACATCCAAAAGGAAACCCACAGGGTTTAACCACAGCACTGAGCGTGTGAGAGATGGTGAGCACGAACTGAATCTGGAAAACAGACAAAATGAATGCATCATTATAGGTTCCTTAGTAGCAAAAGAAGTCAGGTAAGTGGACACTACCAATTCATCAATCATTTCTAAATGGAAAATATCTGCCATGCGTCTATTTAACCTTTCATTTACAGTAGAAAATGTGTTTTGTTTTTTTTGCTTTTAAACATATTCAGTTATCTTACAAACCCAAAAGGGTTGAGACTGTGTAAAATCTACATAAAAACAGAATGCAATGATTTGCAAATCTCATAAACCCATATTTTAGTCACACTAGAAAACAGAAAACCTATCCATTGTTTTAACTGGAAACATTCACCATTTTAAGAACAAAATAAGGTCATTTTGAAATTGATGGCAGCAAGAAGTCTCCAAAAAGTTGGGACAGGGCAACAAAAAGCTGGCAAAGTAAGTGGTACTGACAAAGAAGAGCTGGAACAACGTTTTGCAACTAATTCAGTTAATTGGCAACAGGTCAGTAACATGATTGGGTATAAAAAGAGCATCTTGGAGAGTCAGAGTGTCTCAGAAGTAAAGATGGGCAGAGGTTCACCAATCTGTGAAAAGCTGCATCCAAAAATTGTCAAACAATTTCAGAATAATGTTCCTCAATGTAAAATTGCAAATACTTTAATTATATTGTCATCTACAGTCCATAATATCAAGATTCTGACAATCTAGATAAATCTCTGTGCACAAGGCTGAAACACAACATTGGATGCCTGTGATCTCCGGGTCCTCAGATGGCACTGCATTAAAAACAGGCATGATTCTGTGATGGACATCACTGCATGGGCTCAGGAATACTTCCAAAAATCACTGTCTGTGAACACAACTCGCCGTGCCATCCAAAAATGCAGGTTAAAGCTTTATTGTGCAAAGAAGCCGTGTCTGAAAAATAGGCATGCACCGATACTAGTATCGGTATCGGTGCTGATGCCAAGTATTTGGGTGAGTACTCGTACTCGCCCAAAAGCTGCGATGCCTAGCCCGATACTTCTGGTGTCAGGAAGCCGTCTTCCCAGCCAATCAGGAAGCCCAGCAGCGTGTAATGACTCACTGCCCGACTTCCTGATTGGTCGGGAACCTGGCCAATCTGGAAGCCGGGCGCTTCGTCACTACACGGCACCCGGCTTCCTGATTGGCCAGAAAGGCGGCTCTATGCTTTCTCGTCACCTGCTAATCGGGAAGCGGGGTGGCGAGTCTTTAAATGCCGGCTTCCTGGCTAATCAGGAAGCCAGGTGGCGAGTCATTACACGCCGCCTGGCTTCCTTAATGAGACTTCCAGTATCGGTATTCGGTATCGTCGAGTACCCCAAAAAAAATATCGGTATCGGTGCATCCCTACTGAAAATTATCCAGAAACACCGCTGTCTTCTCTGGGCCAAAGCTCGTTTAAAATGGTCTGTTGAAAAGTGGAAAACTGTTCTGTGGTCAGACGAATAAAAATGTTACATTCTTTTTGGCAACCATGGGCACCGCATCCTCCAGATTAAAGAGGAGAGGGACATTCTGGCTTGTTATCAGTGCTCAGTTAAAAAGTCTGCATCTCTGATGGTATGGGGGTGCATTAGTGCATATGGAATGGGCAGCTTGCACATCTGGAAAGACACCATCAATGCTGAAAGATATATCCAGGTTTTAGAGCAGCATATGCTCCCATTCAGATAATGTCTTTTTCAGGGAAGGCCTTGTATATTTCAGCAGGACAATGCTAAACCGCATACTGCATCTATGACAACAGCATGGCTTCATAGTAGAAGAGTCTGGGTGCTTACCTGGCCTGCCAAGGGGATGTCACACGGTGGTAAACATGGCCCTTTGCAACTTTTTGGAGAAGTGTTGCTGTCATTAATTTCAAAATGACCATATTTTTCTCTTAAAATGTTAAATTTTCTCAGTTTACAAAAATTATATGTTTTCTATTGTGAATAAACTATGGGTTTATGAGATTTGTAAATCATTGCATTCTGTTTCTATGTAGATTTTACACAGCGACCCAACTTTTTGGGAATTGGTGTTGTAGAACCAACAACATAACGCGTACAGTGCATAGAAATACATTTGCTTATAGAGTTGTTGCTTAAAGAAAACTACTACTGGTGTTGCTCCCCAGATCTATGTTCAATGGACGAACATTACCTACCAGTTGGCCCTGAGTAAGGTACTTCTTCCACCAGAGGTATTTGTGCATGGATGGAAAAACTGACAGGCCATAGTACGAGTACATGAGAACATGGATGAAACTGTTGAGGGTAGGTCCAAAGAAACCTGTATTAGCATTAGAATGAAACAGAAACATATTGTTAAAAAAAAACCTGAGAAAAGAAACCGTTTTAAACAGTATTTTACTAGTGTAATAATTTTATGATTATAATACAGTAACTGAATCACAACCAGTTTTAGATATTAGACCACTATGTAGATGAAGAACACTATTTATGAGCACACTGCAAAGAACAATAATGTGCAGTACCAATGGTTTACTGAACACCACAGCCCTCTTTACATAAAATCTAACATGGTTTGGCCAATACAGGGAATATCCCAGAGCTGAAAGGACTGATGTGAACTTGAGCTGTAGAAGTAAATAAGTATGGTCCAACTGTCTGATACTCCTCTGGGACTGAAACAGAATTGGGGGAAATGATCAAAACTGATGCAGACAAAATCTGGCAACCAATCAGCTTCTCTCTCAATTTGTTCAGTTAAGATATGAAAACGAAAGAGAGAAGCTGATTGGTTGCGATGCACAGCTGCTCCAGATTTTGATCGATTCCCTTCAATGTGGTCTGCTGTTGAGTAGGCCTGAAGGTAGAGCAGATGCTATTGTGATGAAGAAATGTGGTGAAAGGTGTTTGCATTGAAAACTCCACATTCCCATTATTGTAGGACTACTCAATATTCCTCAGACTTTTTGAGGCTGACTGATGGCATGACATGGGCCTGCAGGCTTTTCTGTGGTAAACAAATAAATCTGCGCTTCTGGAAAAATAAAATTTAGTAATAACTGTGGTAAGGCTTGGCCATGTAGTCATGGAACTTGCTACAAAATGTCCCAGAAAGCCATGTATTTGGGTTTGCATTGTATACAAACAGAAGAGATTACATTTACTTCCAAAAAAAAAGAAACCAAAGCAACAAAGATTTCATATATACTAACAATCATTTGTGTCTATCCCTTTAAATGGGTCATTCAAATGGTTTATGAAGATATAAACCTAATTTCCACTTCCTGCTAAAGAAAGGAGAATCAAAGCAATAAGAGCCCAAAGCAATGAAGATCTGAACAATTCAGTAACTTGCAGCAATCAGAAATCGTATTTGCTGACTCCAGTAAGCTGAATTTTGATTTGTTTGATTGGGCTACTGCCCCTATACACATCCTTGTAGCCACCTGTACTGGTTATATAAGCTTAAAAGCGCATTAAAGAAATGTGAACTGCTGGAGCCACTGGAACATTCTCTGACTGCTCTCTTAATGCTAAGGCAAAGTTTGTCCAGCAAAAAAAAAAAAAGGCTGCAAGATGGTAACCGTTGTTTACCGGGAGATTGAAGAAATAATGTGAAAGTAAAAATGTTTTGTCTTAACGCTCAACTCCAGGAAAAGGTTACATCCTCCCTTGCAGTGGGACTCACCCCCACACTGCAAGAGGTAAATGTTCATTTATGCCTAGTATTCTGGGAAAAAGGACATTAACCCTATCCCTCGCTCCCCTGGCACTCCATACTCTTTCCTATTCTCTACGATGCTTGTGGGCATTCCCTCACCGTCCTCATGTACATATACAGTACATGCATTGTATTTGATGATGTCAGAGTCCCATCAACTGCCAGACTGCTTAGGAGAAGAGGTCGAAGGACCCAAACGCATAGCATAGAGGGAGCCTGGGAAGCAAGGGATTAGGTTAAAAAAAGTCATTTTTGCTGGGACACTAAAAGGAGCATTTAACTTCCTTACAGTGCTGGGGTACCACCGCTGTAAGGGAGGATTTTTCCTTTCCCTGGAATTCAGCCTCAACATTGACAACTGATATTGCTTAATATATCTGGCTAGGAATTAGTCTACAGATGATGACACACATTGAATGTAAAGGCTATTAAGTTTGAATAGAATTGCAGACACATTGTAATAAAACACTTAAGTATTGCATGTTATACAGGCATGAGACATGACTTGCAGTAGAGAAGTATGAGGCACTGTGTAGAGTTGTGACGCCCTATATATAGGACAGTGGCATGAGGCACTATGTGTAGTAGAGAGGTGTTTGTCAGTTACTGTAGTAAAGGCAAGAGCACTGTGTAAGCATAAATGCATAAGGCACTGCATGTAGTAGGAAGACACTACACTTTCTATATTGGATAAGTGTGCAGCAAAAGGAGAGACATGAGTCACTGTGTATAAACAGTAAAGTGTTGCACTTGGTGTAATAGACCGGGATGAAACATTGTAGGTAGTAGACAGCTTTGAGGGAATACAATAATTAGAAATTTGAGGCACTGCCTGTAGAAGAGGCGTTAGGCACTGTGTGTAACAAAGAGTTACTGAATATAGTAGAGAGACATGATACAAAGTGTGCAGTAGAGATGTGTGAGGTAATGAGTGCAACAGAGAGGTATACTACACTACGGGTAGTAAAGAAGTAGGAACAGTAGAGGTGTGATGAAGTAAAATAAAGAAAAGTCACTCGCACTCCTAGGACTTTTCTTCATTTTACTTTGATCTGCGGAGGCATCTGCTGTCACTTTGCCACCCACCCGATATCCAAGGGTACAATCCGGTCAGGAGTGTGATGGGTCCCTTGAATATTGATCAGTATAGGTGTGAGACACTGTGCTTAGGAGAAAGACAAAGCCTGTAATGGTGAAGCACTGCATGTAATGGACAGGCGTAATGTTATAGAGAACATAAGCAAAGTAACCTCCTCTGCTTGATGAGTAGACTTGGCGTCCCGTGTCGAATCCATGGATGGATTGGCCTGGCCAATTTTACACGGTTGTATCCTCTGTGGACTCTTAATTTGTGCACTAAATCCCTGCCTGTGCTCTTTGGCGCTAGTAAATTTGGGTCCAATCATCATTTTGCCAATTGCAACACTAGAGGAGTGGTTTATCTGCTCCTTTGTGAGTGTGATACTCTATGAGGGGTGCCCATTAGGTAGATCGTGATCTACAAGTAGCTCTCAAAGCTGATGCTGGTAGATCACAAAGGGTGTGAATGGCGGCCCCTTTATTCCATGTTGGTATATTTATTTAGCTCTGCACACATGATTACCTATTAGCCTATCTGCTGAGCCAAGCTCCCCGACACCTTTCTGGTGGTTGAAGTGCTATGTATTACATCAAAGAATATTAGTTTACACAGCCTGTTGCACTACACTGTTTGGAAAATACAGCAAGGTGAGCCAGGAGAGAGAGCGGGGAGAGACAGCCAGGGGAGAGAGTGCAAGGAGAGACAGCCAGGGGAGAGAGCAATGAGAGACAGCCAGGAAAGAGAGAGAGGAGAGACAGCCAGGGGAGAGAGCAAGGAGAGACAGCCAAGAGAGCGAAGAGAGATAGCCAGTAGAGAAAACGAGGAATGACAGCCAGGAGAGCGAGGAGAGACAGCCAGGAGAGAGAGAGCGAGGGATGTTTTTTTTCTGTTGGTAGAATCTCATGTAGCTCATCATTTGAAAAGTAGATCTTAACCTAAAAAATTGTGGGCACCCCTGCTCTACAGCAACACTGGCAGACAGTTTTTACTTGACCTGGATTCTACCAGCCACAAAATCTGTGTAATTTACGTGTCCTAATTGGATTAGCTGGAACATCTTAAGTCAGGCATTCTCAACTTTATTAAATGAGCAAACCCTTCTACAGTGCCAGTGGTTACACTAAGTACCCTATTGTGTGCTTGCTAATTTTATAGCTGACCTTCAGACATACAGCTAAATAAACTGATGGAATACATATATGGGAGTTGTGTTACCTGCCAAATGATTCAAAATTCTATCCATCCAGTCCTGAGATTTACACAGCTCTCCCACACCACACAATTACTGTCTGGCAGGGTAGGAGACCTGAATTTCATTCTGCTGCGGTTCAGTAATACTTTCAGGTCTTGTTTCCTCTCCAGCCTGTTACTGGGCAGTTAGAGGAGAAGCAGCAGACTGATGAGATTATCTCTCGAACTCTGCTCTTCCTATCAGAATTATCCTTGCAGTGGGTATACTGTAACTGGCTTCTTGTGCTGCTTCATCCCCCAGTTTAAGCACTGCTGTACTGGGGCTGAAAGAATCGGATACCAAGTGAAATTCAGGTACATTAATAAATACAGAGCTGCATTAATGTGTCTTTTATATACACCATTTGTGGACATTTTTTTTCCCCATAAAATTGCTTACTGAGATCTGATTTATGGTTTGCTACACATGTAAACCATTTACCAGAACAAGTATGACTGATTGCAGTTCATGCCACTGCAAATCACCATTGTAGTTTTTGTTTAACACTTACTTTGTCCACATGGAATCCAGTTGAGAACACACCACCATATGTTGAACATTGTGGCATGGTGATAAACATGGAGGAAAGTGATTTGGCTATTCTTTTTCCGTAAAACAAAGAAAATGGTGTCCATAAATTCAATTGCTTTGGAAAAATAATACCACCACAGAACCTTTGCCACCTGTAAAGTAAAAAAAAAACAAACAAGTTATCATTAAGAACAAAGAACCATTCACCAC